AGAAGGACAGGGAGAGAGATAAAGAGCGAAACAAAGATCGAGAGAGAGTCAGAGACAAAGACAGGGATAGGGACAAGGATAAGGACAAAGACAGGGACAGGGAAAAGGATAAAGATAAGGAGAAGGAAAAAGACAGGGAAGAGGTAGACCAGAACAAGGAAAAAGAAGATACTGAGAAAGAAGCAGAGAAGAACAGAGAGAAGATTAAGGACAAGGAGGGAGATAAGGACAAAGGAGGGGACAAAGAGAAGGACAGAGACAAGGAAAAGGAAAAAGATGGGGATAAGGAGAAGGAGCGAGAAAGAGAAAAAGAGAGAGATGATAAAAAGAAGAAAGATAAGAGATCCAGAACACCCCCAAGAAGCTATAGCTCTTCAAGAAGATCTCGTAGCTCCAGCAGGTTTGTTTAGAACTTTTTTATGCTTTTTTTGACTTGTCAGTTTAGTGAGCAACCATCCTAGTTTTTATATATTAACATCATCATGCCTCTTACTATTAAATTTGTATTATTTCTGTTTTGTAGATTTTCCTATAAAGTAAAATCTATTACAAAGAGCTCTTTATGATGCCTGATAGAACATAGTTTGTTGTTGGGCTGCTGGTGCTTGCCTTTCACATAACCATATAGTATAGTCCTCAAGGACAGTACGAAGATGATTCTTGTGCCATTTCTATGTGTTGGAGCCATCCAAAAGTTCTGATAAAGCAACATCACACATCATCTGGAAGTTTGAGTCACTGTTACATAGTTCCTTGGTTACCTACCTACTGTACAGTGTTGGCCTGTAGATCTTACGAACAGTTGGGTGATAGTACTTGCCAGTCTTCAGCCAAGCGTGTCACTTGTCTGGCTAGCCGTTCAGAAAGTGAATGTATTTCAGCTGGAAGATAAGAATACCTCGTTTAGCTGGTCAGATGGCTAGGTACAAGCAAAAAGTAATATTCCTTAACGTTGCTGATAGTAAACAGGAAGACATTGGAGTTAATATAGCTGTTGTTTTTGCCTATGAGGGAGGCTAAACTGGATGGAAGTCTGGATAAATTCAGTACAGTGAAAGATGATGTGAGGTTGATTATTATAAGCTTTGTAAGTAGACTAACTCGGGCATATTCTAAAAGCGCTGTGGCTAACTTAAGTTCAGAAGCTTTGGTGGAAAAAATCCTTTCTCAACAGCTCAGGAACTGGGGAGTCCAGTAATATCACATGTCAGATTTAGATACTAAATTTTATGTTACCTTGAGAGAATGAATTGCTTGATGAATTGGGAAAAGTTCTGCATATTATGATCATGTGACTGGACAAAAACAAAATTCGTACAGTCCTTAAAATTCAGGAATTCCTGTGGATTTACAATTCTTTCTTCAGATACAGCATATCCTTAGGGTAGCGATACTGGCACCAGTACTGTTGAATATCTCCATCAGTGACCTAGACAGCGGGACAGAGCGTACCCTCAGCAACTTTGCAGACAACACAGACTTGGGGGGAAGGCTGGTACACCAGAGAGGTGTGCTGCCTTTCACAGAATCCTTGACAGACAGGAAAAATGGGCTGACAGGCACCTCATGTTGTTGAACAAAGAGAAAGGCATCTGGGCAGGAGTAACTCCTTTGCATCATTACAGCCTGGGGGCTGCCTGGCTGGAAGGCTGGCTGGCAGAAAAGGACCTGAGGGTCCTTGCAGCCAAGGAGGTCGGCAGTATGCTGAGCTGCCTTAGGCAGAGTGTTGTGAGCAGGTCCTGGAAGATGAATTTTTTTCCCCTCTTCTTAGCACTGGTGAGTGTTAAAGGAATCTAACTCAGCTGGTGGGTAACTCAAGGTTTGCGTTATTGACAACTCAAAGTTGGGCCATCACCTCAGTGAGTGGCAGAGGCATTGCAAAAATCAAGCTCTATATATGCTAAATGTAACATTATACAATAGGTATTCTTTTCAGAGTTCTTGGTGTTTTCCCACAAACCCTCAGTTCCAAATTTCTCATTAGTTTAAAATTCTGTAAAAGTCCACAGTGATCTTCAAACGCAGCTGATTCTTCTTGTCTCGTCTCAGTGCCTCTTCAGAAGTTGCAGCCACTGGTCCCATTCTGGTCGCTGTGTTCACTCATCTTCTTGAACAATCTTCCTGTCTGCTCATCTTTGCACTTCTAAGAAAAACTTGCATAATGACATTTAACTTATGTCTGTTTTAAAATACGTAATCTTTCACCATTTGCTTACTCCAGGTTAATCACTTACCCTCTGTAATTGCTCTGTCTCTGAATTCTATTATTGTTGTTGATTCAGCTGGATTGGGTTTAAACCAGCCATGGAGAGGGCTAGACAAGGGGCAAAGTGAGAAGCAGCATGGTTGCATAATTATAAGAATTATTATTCTACTATTTCATAGCAGCTGTTTCTAATTTTTCATCTTAACCACAATACTTCTATTAATCAATATAATTTTACCTATAAGCATTTTCTTAGAGTCTTTCCCTTTTACAGTGAGGGCACATCTGGAATCATGTGTCCAGTTCTGGGCTCCCCATTAGAAGAAACAGAGGCATACTGGAATGAGTGCATTGAAGGGCTACCAAACTGATAAAGGGCATGGAGCATCCAGCATACAAGGAGAGACTGGGGGAGCTGGCATTGTTTTAGCCTGGAGAAGGCTGAGGGGGCATCTTGCCAATATGTATGAATACCTGATGGGAGAGCATGAAGAAGACAGAGCCAGACTTTTCACTGGGGGCCAGTGATAGGCTAAGGTGCAGTAGACACATACTGACATATGGGAAATAGAGGCTTTTTTCTAATGTTTAAATTCCATTTTTTTTCTGGGCAAACTGGAACCAGTTACCCTGAGAGACTGCGGAGTCTTCATCCGTGGAGATATTAAAAATCTGACTGGATAGGTCCTGAGTAACCTGCTCTAGCTGACCTTAAGGTAGGGAAGGGAGAGGTTGGACTAAATGGTCTCCACAGGGCTCTTCCAACCTCTGTTCAATCTGTCATTCTCTGAAAAGTAATTGTGAATAGGTTGGCTTACAGAGTCCCAGGTAGCTTGCATTTAGAGGTATCAGTTTACTTTGTCGATTGAGTTGCCTAGTTGAAATTGTTACACGCCTTTCTGGAGAAGATGATCCAACAAACTGGCATCTCAGCTGCCTAGATTTACAGTGCAGCACTGATTGGGACTGCTGATCCTTTACCTGATGAGTGCAAAATATGGGAAAAATTGTCCTCTTTTTGGAGAAGAGCTGAAAGTGGAATAGGACTTAAAAGACCTTGTAAGAACTAGGTGGCAACTGACCTTGCTTTACTGACAGACAGCAAGCAAATACTAGAAATCAGATGACTATTTGTGATTCCTAGCTGGAGGAAGAGACACAGACCAGAGGAAGAGGAGGATCTGGCTCCTTTTCCAACAGACATCTACAGGCTAGCAGAAGAGATAGGTACAGAATGTTAGTTCTGTGTGTGATTAAGAAACACAGGATCACTATCAAAGTATTCAGACTTGTTATTTAAATTTTGCTGTATTAGTATTGTTTAAGAGCATTAAAAAAACAGGTGCACAAAAATCTTTGTGTAGACAAATGTAATAGAAATGGGAACAAACACTCTCAGACACAGTTCTTCAACTTGAAATACAAAGAGCAGAAACTGAAAATTAGATTTAATGAATAAACAGTTTCTAGTTTGGACACAATTACTAAGGCATTTGGTTACTCACAGATGTGTATGCTGGAAAGCAAAATAGAGTGGGGATGTACTCAATGTAGCCCAAATGGGAGCACTGTCAGAACAATATATTTATTTCCAGCATCCTCATTTGAAAAAAGGTGATGATTAATCTGAAGATGTTCAAAATGAGATGCACGTTAACTAGTGAACAGCTAGTCAGTGATTGTGTTACTTTATCCATGATTTTGAGGCCACTTTTTATTTTTGTTTAGCAAAGATAGGATCAAACTTAAGAGCTTCCTGAACAAAATAGTTACGAAATTTTGTCCTGTGCAGCTTCAGGAGGTCATGGTAGATTATATTGTCACAGTATCAATCCAGGTAGTGATACTAGGCATATCTTAGTATATCTTTTGTAATTTCTATAATAATTGTTGATTTCTCGGCCTTTCTAAATACTGAAGATATAAATATTTACACCTAATGGTGTGAATTTCAAAAGCTGGTGTGCTTAAGCGTAGCTTTTGTGCCATATTCTTCAAGTGCCTGCTCAATTAGTTTTTCACTTTCCTGTTTTTCTTTGATGGTTTTTCCTGTCTGCTTGTCCTGCTCTATGAAGAGATGATAGGAAAAAAATTATCTTACTTTGACAGAGATAGGCTCTACGTTTGTGTTGAACGAAGCCCTCCTGGCTCAGTTTTTACTTTATTTTAATTTGTGCCTCATTATGTTTGCAACAAGTTATTTAATGTTTTGTTCTATTCAAGATCAGACTTCATAATAGCAACTTCATAAAATCCCATGTATCTGTGTAAAACAGCTGCTTTGTAAAATAGTGTGAGCTCTTCAGTGTGTTACAGAACAGTAAGTTCTGTTTGCTGAGCGTGGACTGCTAGGAAGACAATAGATACTAACTTGCTTACTCTGATTTTGACAGCAAATGGAGCTTCAGTTTGCGCTGTTTGCTTCTAAGCCAAAAGGAATGCTAGCTCATGTGTTTAGGAATTAAACTTCAGCCTGACTGAACTGAAATTGTAACGGTCTTCAGGTTGTAATGTTATGTTTTGAAGTTTGCATTGCTCAAGTTACACCTTTTGTCTTCATGTGGCTCTTGATTCAATTGTATTATTTTCCTGACTGAAGAAACTCTTACTTAATACAGAATTAATGAATTCAACGTGTTATCAGGTATAAGTACAGGCATATGAGGATAAACAAACAATAAACTAAAATCTGAAAGGGCATAACCTTTTTTTCCCCACTTCCAGCCTCCCCTTTCCCACCAAACTGAAACATACAAAATTTTTTTTTTGCTTTGCACAGTTCATATGTTGTTGGTAATATATAATGTTAAATTCAGGAATATTTACTTAGTTGTTGTGTCAGATCATTTTAAGAGCTTTCTGTTTTTATCTGGTTCCTGAGGTTATTATTTTTATGCTTTGATGATCTTGAATTTCTTGGTCCTGTAGAGAAAGGCGTAAAAGGAAGAGTAGAAGTCCCTCCAAGTCTCCCAAAACATCCAAGACAACAAAAAGAAAGTCTTCGCAAACTCCTTCTCCAAGAAGGTCAGTTTGATGTAAACATAAAAGTTAATGAGTAGTAATGGAGGTAGAATTTATAATAGTTTCATTGTTTTACTGCCTTTGCACTGATAATCTCAGATTATTTCAGTTGGTCAGTGTGATTCAATTTTAATTTAAAACAGAACTAAAACAAAACAAAAACCTTTTGATTTCAGCTTTGGTATGCTTTCAACTAGAGAGTTTCATATCTGTCAAGAGTACAAATTTGCTTCAGATCAATAAAAACCCTTTATCAAATACAGATTAATTTAGTTTTCTCTTTGCATACTGAACACAGCATTCTTTAGCTCTCTTCAGTGAAAAATTCCCCTTGTCTTTATGAAGGGGTTTTTGTTAAGTTTTGGGGTTTTTTGGAAAACCCGCAGGTGAGAGTTTAGTCTGAAGTTAAATGGTTTGAAGGTTCTTGCTGTTGGATCAAATTCTGATTTGAGTAAAAATTTTCTTAAGCAGAAACAAGAAAGAAAAAAAAAGAGAGAGAGATACAAATAATGAAAGAAGAGAAAGAGAACGCTCCACCTCCAAGAAAAAAAATAGTAAAGAAAAAGAAGGAAAGGAGAAATCTGACAAAAGCACCACCTCTTTGAAGGTAAGCTCTGTGACCAAGTGATAAGCAGAATTAAGTGGTGCTAGTGAAGCCATTATTGAAATTCTCTCTCCTTGTTCTTTCTTTTCCTCCTCCCTTCTTTTTCTCCTGTTTTCCTTACCAAATTATTACCATTTGTGTTTAGATTTTGCCAGTTGGACACCTATAGTTGGTGTTAGTGGGCCAGTTTGATAGGTCTCCAATTTTGAACTTTACTGGACCTATAGGATCTTGTGTGAACAGGTTAGGGAAACCCTTTGGTTTGGTTTCTCTTTTTTCTGTTAGGCTGTATGTTAGGACATGGCTGGCTGCCTATCTGTATGAGCAGGCAGGAAGCAGACTGTAACTAAGGAGCAGTGTTCAGGGACAGCTTGGCTGTCAAGCTGGAAAGATTACTTTCTTAATAAGCTTTCACTCTGCAATTCAGCCTCTCCCTGGTTGCTTTGGTGCTGGTCTGTGTATTGGACTCTGCAGGAGTAAAGCTGAAGAATTGGGGAAGAGTGGTATGGGATTTTCCTCTGCAAAATAGAAAGTGATGTGATTAAGAAAATGAACATCTTAAAATTGTTTAAGAATAGAATTTGTAAAGCAGCATGCCTTTAAAGAGAAGTTTGTTGCACTCAGAATTATTCAACTGTTGTAAATCAGCTGGTTTAGGTGATTCTGTCCATGTGCTTAAGTAATTACGTTGCCCAAGAAATCTCTTAAAATGCATCAGATACCTGTCAAAAAACATGAAAGAAAAATTTAACCCTATTTCATTTAGAAAATATGGTGAAATCTTAATTTCTAGAGCTGTTTCTCATAGGTTCCATGATGCTGCTTGTTCTGCTGTTTTTGATTATTGATGATAAAGACAGATCACTTTATGGCAAAGATTTCTTGGATGATGGGTTGTTATGAGTGCATAACCTCAGACAATTGAAAAGAAAGCTTTTCCTATTAAAACAAAAAAAAGGAAAAAAAAAAGAAAAGAAGCTGTCACCTCTATTCTAAAAATTTCTAGGACAAGATAGGCATGTAAAAATTGAGACAATAAAAGTACCAAGAGTTGCTTGAAAGTCATACCCTGTAATGCTAAGAATATTATTTTTTTTGTAAAATAATTTTATCTTTGGTAGGACAAAGATCACACTAAAGAGGATCAGAATTCAGAAACTGACAAGGAAGTAGACAACAGAGATGGACAGAGGACAGATGAAGTCAAACTACAACAGAATGGGAACTGTCAACCAAATGAAGAAAACCTCTCAATTAAAATGGAAGAGGTTTAAAGCAAAGAATGGACTTCTGATTCAACTAAGGAGTGAAATCCAAAGCTTTTTATTTCTCAGAATGAGGAAGAAAATGTCAAAGCAATCAACCTGAACATTGATAGTACTTGTAGCTCTTCCAACTCTTGTGATAGCTTTGTTGTCTTCTTGCCGAAAAGCAAGAGAGCATGGACCAGTAGTTATACGATGAAAAGGCAGATGCCATCAGACGTATTCATCTCTGAAAATCCCTGCATTTCCATGATGGCTGTACTTATTTGTAAAATGATTTATGTTAAGTTTTGCCATAAGCTGTTACAAGTGAGTAGAAACTGAAAGATGTAAACCTGTACAACCCAAAAAAAGCTGAAGATATGCGTTGAAGGTTGTTTAAAATACTGCTTGTTGATGAATTTTGTATTGTTTTTCCTTGTGGGTTAAAAAATCCACAAAAACTTCAATGTGTACTGTTTGATGTGCTTGGAAATGGTGCATATACACACTTTGTTGTAAATGACAACTGTAGGGAGTTTTTAAACATAAACACAGTTTTACAGTTCTTATGTTGAATACCCACTGATTAGTATGTTTTTCATTTGCTCACTGCTTAAGACTCTTGGGTTTTATTATTTAAAATAATTTCTTACTAATACCCTTAAAATTAATATTTCTTTTAAAGTATTGTAAAAATGCATGATACTTTTCTGTTCCTAAAAGGAACATTGCTGTGTTATAGATAATAGGTTAGCTTACTGGGTTATTTTTGGGTTGTTTTATTTTGTTATTTTCTTTTGTCCTTCCAGAAGTGAGCACGTCTGTATGATACTATCAGAACTTACTGCTTTGTTTTGAGCCATACTGCAGTGTCTGTTCAGCTGCAAATAGTACAGGTGCCGTTATGAAAATTTTTTTTCTTATTTGTTTAAAAAATATGGGAGCACAAGCAGAAGCTTTAGTGCCTTTTTAAAATGTGGTATTTTCTAGAAATCTATATGTGCTATTACTCATTTTCAGCTAAATCTTAAATGATCTCTATTGCTGTTTTGTCACCACCATACTGTAGACAAGGATGGAAGTGATTTGTCAGAACAGTTGTTTGATTCACTTGTTAAAATACTGAAGCTTCATTTTTACTTTTATTTTTAGAAGAGATTTATAGATGAAAGCAAAGATGCAGTTTGGGGACCACCACTGTACAAAATTAGTAGCTGAATACAAAGCATTTTCTGATCACTTGCATCAAAGACAGCCCTTTAGACATTTAGTCTACATTTGGATGGCCTTAACTGTTACCTCTCCATCATCTTCTCTGATACCTGTTGGGTGATATAGAAGGAATTGTATGCAAAGAAGGGGGAGATAAATAATTTGGGTAAAAAAGTTGTAATTTACAGAGGAGTTATATGGTAGAGATTCATTTTCATTCTTTGGGGAGAAAGCATGTAAGAAGAGAATGACAAAGCAAATATTTTTGTCAAGGTGAAACATGGCTTATGTTCTCTGAACTAATTTAATCGGTTACATGAGATTTCTTAAGAGTCAAACCTTTAAAACTTACTTATACCTAAAACTGTGTAGTTTATTTTTAATACAATATAATACAATCCGATGACTTAATTGCCTTACCTCATGGGAAGAGTTAGTTATTTCTTTCAGTTAAAAAACCCCCAAACTTAATAGCATGTTAGCTATTTGCTTTCAATTAGTTTTTCTTTTCCTTTGCATAGTTAATTCTTTGGGGAGGGGGGGGGGCATATTACAGGGAATTAAAAATTTGCCCAGTTCCTATGGTAATGAAACCCAGTTTGATTGTGAAGCTGCTCAATCACTCTTCATTTTCCATAGGATTTAATGTTCTTGCCACTGTGTACACTTAAGACTATAGAAAATGCTTTACCATGTAAAGTATAGACAGTAATTTTTGTGATATTTAAGCCACTTGCTGACAGCTTATTCCGATAAAAGAATGACAAATCTGTATGCTTACAGGAAGACTGTGAAGGATTGTGTCTTGCAACTATAGCTGTCTTATTTATGATGTGTAAGTAGCATAGAGCAAAGAGATTGTTTGTATACTTGTTATCTTTGGTACCATTTCACTAATAAAACTAAGTATTTTAGAGGGAAGTTTCTGCTGGTACATACTTATTAAAGGAATATTTTTAGTTGGTATGATCCTACTCAAGCAGCTTCTTTGATCTGAAATGTGGATAGCAGTGAAAACACATTATTTATAGTGTCTTTGAAAAGCTAAGTTTCTTCTTTGGGAGGAATTAGAATTCTTGCAGTGTATTATGTTTCAGCTGCTATTGGTTTGATTTCTTGAGTTTTGTTATCCTGAAATTGCATACATCTCTTATCAGTTACAGGATATGTAAAGGATTATGTGCAGTTAGCTAAGAAACGTACCTTTGGAAATTAATAGTTTTGAGGATGGCAGCCTTACTAGCTAACTTACTACATGTGTAAATCCTTATGCAGCACATTGTTATATTGTATGTGAATTAATGGTTCCCTTACAAAAAGGCAAAAAAAAACCCCCAAAAAAACAAAAACACAAAACAACCGACCACCAAACACAGATTTCCTCCCCACCTCAAGTAATATTTTCTTACAAATGCTGTATTTTCTGGTTTTGCTTTGTAAATACTGTGCAGATCTGTGAGGTAGTTAAGTTCTGTCTGTTCATATTAGGTGTTTCTCAGTTCCCCTCTTCCCAAAAGGCCACTGCTAGAGAACTGTTGCTCTGTAAAATGCCTGTCTCTGCAGGGGGTAGCTCATTTTTAAACCAGTAGTGTAGCACAGTAATGAAGTTCCTACTTGTTCCAACAGGATTGTGTGCATCATCCATTAAATGTGTCCATCTTCTACTGGAACTCCTTTGCCTTCGTCATTAACAAGTTTGCATGCTGAGGTGCCATGGCAGATTGTTTGGTTTTGCACTTTATAAATGAAATTAAATTGAGTGGAGGTTTTAAGAACAGTGTAGTTCATTATAGCTGTATTTTTTTAAATATCATCTCATTTGAGTTGGCCTTTATTTGAAAATGTAATGACTTGTAATTGTTCAGACAGGTGATGATAGTGGTGCCAGTTTGCTAAGACCACGTAAAGCACGTGTGCGTAAGCTTCCCTTCGTGACCACAGTTATTTCACAACAGTATTTCTTGATAACAGATATTTTTGGATTTTGAAAGAAGGTAGCAGAAGACAACTGTTGGTGGATGACAGGATTCCAAGCTCAAAACAGAGGTGGCTGTGACTTAGATAAATTAAATGAAGTCAATAAGTTTACACAGGTGTGAGGGATGAAGTTTTGTTTGCAAACACTGATGGTATGGTATGTAAAGAATATTATTTTCCATATTTCAGAATTAGAACTAAGAGAGGGGGAAAAGCACTTCAGTTAGAAACTAGAAACACCTGAAGAATACTTGAAAAGCTGTGAGATGTGGCTTCTGTCTACTCATTAGTCACCTGCTAATTTTTTGAATGGCAATTTCAGATGGATTCAATTGAACTAGCTTTCATTAGGTGGCTAGCAGCAGCAACGTGTGCACAGCTTGGATTCTGAAATGAGCTGTGGCCACTTGAGTGTGTTTCCTCTGCTGCAAAGACCGTAGATTCAGTTGTCTGTAGCATGCTTTGCGTTGCTTGCTGGAGTTCATCTAAGGCCGGACCTGAAATTACTTTGAAACTCTGCAGATCTGTTTGTTACATGGTAGCTTCACTGTGTTGCCCTTGGCTTGTACTGGTATTCTGTAATAGGTATTATATTTAGGGATTTCTGTGATTTTCTTTTGGTCTAAGGAAGAGATAATAAGTAAAGGCTGCTTTGTATGATACAAATTATTGTATACTTCATGCCTGTCCTTATTACTGTTATTTTTTTCATTCATGTGTATGACTATTGCAAGCAGTAATACCATAGTGATGTGTGTATCTTCTACTTTTAGGTCTGAAGCATGTCTGCATCCCTGTCTTTTAGTTTGTAATGAAACAAGGTTTGAATTAATGTATTTTAATTTTGCTACCCATTCACTTAGAGGAAAAAAAGAAAACAGACAACAATAATCTTGAATTTTGTTAATGCTAGTGTGAAAATTGCATTATAACAGTAAAACAAATAATCTTAAAGATGTGAATTCTGAACAATGCCTTGCAAACTGGGGCAGATTATGGTTCCTGGTGGTACTTTCATTTTTATAGCAATCGGTTTATTTCCTTTGGTGTTATCATAATTTTAAAACTGAGAATTTGACTTAGTGACACAAATGCTGAGAACTGTAAATGACTGAAATAACGTAATCAGTGGGCACTTAGTTCAGAGAGATGTAGTTTTCTCACCAGAGACTGGAGTGTGGACAACTGAAATTTGTAGATATCATTAAGTGTTATTACCTAAAGAGAATCTAAAACTTAATTTTGTTTGCTATTATGTAAACAGAAAAAAAGTTTGCAGCCTGTACCTTAGGTTTATTTTTATATGTTGAAAAGTGTAATTAAAATATTAAAAATTAAAAGCACTGTGCAAAAGGGATTTTTTTTTAAGAGAAGCACACTCATTCATGTTTAATTTTAAACTTTTTTAAAAAATTTTTTTGCATGCAGTGTTTTATTTCAAATTCAAGAATGCTTCATTTGTAGGTAAGTCCTATTGCAGGATCTGAGCATGTTAGTATGGAGGTTATTCTGTATTATTTTCAATATTAAACGGCTTAATAAACTTGCCTGACAGTATGTGGAGGCAGCTGCTTTTCCCCTAGTTTGAGGAGACACAGCTCTGACACTTCAGTTTTGTACTGTTTAATTAAATAGTACAGTTGAGCTATGAACTTCAGTTTTCACAATATTTTCTGAAACTGTGAACGCTTACTACCCAAGAGGGGAAAAAAAAATTTTAAAAAGTCATGACAGTTTTATGATTGTTGAGCTTAATACAGGAGAACATGGACAGCAAAAGTTAAGTTTTTAGCTGTTTATATATTTTCTTCTGGAAAGTTTCAGCTTACACTTTTTTAAAAATTTTATTTGTTACATTTTTTACATTAATCTGGTGCCAAGTTTAGCACAAGACTAGAGATTTTTGGTGTACAAAGTATGTTCCATACTAATCTAGTTAAGATACACCTGGGGAACCTAAGCACTACAGCAGAAAAAAATATTATTCCCCTTCTCTACATTTGATATTTCTAGTAATAAAGTAGGTTGTCTAATAAACATAACACCAAAATTTCTTCCATGTTGGTAGAGTATTTTTTTGCATTAATGAAGCAGCTATTAAATCGTACAAGTCAAGAAATGTCAAACGCTGCTATTATGTTGCTGTTACGTTTGTAAATAAACAATGTCCCAAAGTTTTAATGGTGTAATAAACTCATTTCCACTACATTTCAATAAGATACAGCAAATGGCTGTGAGGCTATTCTCTCATTCTCTCTCTCTCTCTCTCTCTCTTTCTCTTTTATAGGCTACATCTGCCCCAGAGAATCAAGTGCTTTGTAACTGAGTCTGTTGGACTGATACTGACAAGAATATTACAGGAAAGGTGGTGAGGGATTAAGTAACTGAATATATCATCACTGTTTAGTTGCAGAAGAGGCTTCTGAATCCTCTGGCTGATCAGGAGCTGCTCTTCTCTAGAGAAAACCACCATAGTTCCACCAGGGTGAGTTTGTCACTTTCAAACAGCAAGTTAATAAATGTGGCTATAAAGAAAAGTCTGTCAAAATTCCTTTTTTAATTTCCCCCCCCCCAAAGTAGGATCAGGAGTTCATGCAGAG